GCCCGCAGCCGGCCGGGGCCTGCCGGTGGACAGGCAGGACTGCATGAGGTGAGGGAGCAGAAAGCACCAGGTGCCACTATTAGCTGCGGGCCAGCAAAAAGTTAGGTGGCTACGAGACCTCTGCTGCTGACACCAGGTCTTTGACGTAGAGCTTAGAGTGGGATCGAAGCTCACGAGCTGCTGCGATCCCCATGGATGCTCCGCAAGAGTCATCCACACCTTGAGTCAGCTACGTATTGTCTTCACCAGCTGCTTGGAGTTGGCTCCAGCTGAACATACCTCCTGCATGTGTCAGCTGTGCTCACCCGTCCCTGTCGCCAGGATGGCATTTTCATTAGTCACTGTATTTATTGACTCTTAACAAATGTTTTCTCTCCCTAACACAGTACCCAGGCAGACCATTGCTCTGGGCTGACCTAGAAGATAGCTCTGCTTCTTGAGCTTTTCAAAGAGCTGTGGCTGGGTACAGCCTGCCCCATTTCTCATACTGGTGGCAGGACTAGAGGACTCTTTCTTGGCTCTCCTAACCAAGGCTGTGTGTGGCTACCAGGCTGCAGGGTCAGTCTTTCCCAGGGAGTGTTTAATTATTCACACAAGGATGACAAACTCCAACAGGAAAGATCAAAAAAGGCCCTTTCCAGAAGAGCTCAGCACCCAGTGCTGCAGCAGGTGTCTTAAGGTTCAAACCTCTTGTCAAACTCTTCCACTTTCAGCTCTCATCAAACTAAAAAAAAAAAAAATTGAGTTCATTGCATTTTGGAATAAGGAATTGATAAATACCTCTGGATGGGAAACATGGGGCACCTGTGCTTACAGGTGGGTCAGTGAATGCTGGTGCGAGCATTGCTTCAGGTAACCACATCTAGGGCTTGTCTGATGAGTGAGATTGGAGCACCAGCAGCTGGACTTCCAGCGACCCTGTTCTCCTGCCCAGCTCAGCAAACCTCAATGCAAGGAGCTGCTTGGTACTGGTCTGAAGAGTACCTTGGCCAAAATGCATTCCCTGGAGAAGTGGAGCCACCTGAGAGGGGCTTTCTGCTCCTGATGGTGTTACACAGGGGTTTGGGCTTTTGCAGCCAGTGTGATTGCAACTACAGGCAAATAAATAGAAGGGAGAAGCTGCACTATTTGGTTTTCAGTTTTGAAAGGAGGAGAATGACTGTTTCTTTTCCCCTCCATTAAATATTTTTTTTACCTTTGGAGTTTGTTCTTGAGAGTGGGATTTCCACAGGGCCCTGCGCACCTCCAGGAAGCAGGGAAGGCTTCAGGCAGCTGCCAGACGGATAACCAAGTACTGAGCACCAGAAGAACAGGCAAGGGCAAAGGCTTGATTAAAAGCAATGAAGGAAACAATGGAGAATCCTTCCCCAGCCCCCTGGGT